GTTCTTCTTCAGATTAGGGATCTCATTTTCTCTTTAATTTAAAATAAGTATAGATCACGAATAAAAAAAAATCTAAATTACTGATAATTTAAATTTATTCTTGTCTTGATCAGCAGATTGAATTATTATTTGACATGAGTAAATTTTCTTCTTTTTCTTTATTTGATTCATGATTAACAATTAATTAATTTATTAACATAAATTAGTGACGTTTCGTATTTTGATGAGATACTTCTACAGACACTAAATTTACGATAAATGACTCAACATAGAAGTAAACCTTTTCTTTTTCCTTTCTTTCTTAGTCACTCTTTTGATAGTGATACGCAAAAAAAGGATTAAACTCAATCTAGCTATTACTATTATCGTCTTGTTTTTCGCATCACTATCAAAAGAATGAATAAGAAAAAAAAAGAAAAAGAAAAGGTTTACTTCTATGTTGAGTCATTTGTCTTAAATTTATTGTCTCAAGAAGTATCTCATCAAAATACAAAATGTGACTAATTTTTGTTAATTGACTAATTTTTGATTGTAAACGCAGTAAAATAAAAGAAGAGAATTTACTAATGTCAAATAATAATTTGATCTTCTTGTCAAAACAAGAATTCAAAAGCCTCTACGAAGAGAATTTATATCATCACGCACAATTCGGAAAAGTTGCACAAGAAGAACAGCAGATAATATAACTTAATACCAAATGGATTCAGACCAAAAAGTACCATATATTTAAAAATGAAGAATTATTAAGACAAACAATATACAAAATTAGTAACAACACATTAAAAGATAAACAAAAATAAATAAAATACATCAATATTGAAATTAACACTTAAATATCAATATTAAATATATATTTGAGAACATCACAAACTATAAGACAGTAGTAAGATGATTTACGATGGATGTATAAGTTTGATAGAAAATTCAAAGATAATATAATTAAAAAACATGATCAAAAAATTTAACTAGATTAAAAATTTTTAAAGCAGAATCGCATTTACAACAATGATTCACAACATGAAGAACCATTAATAACATCAATTCACGTACTGTGCGTGGTACAACAAACGTTATTAATATGTCAAAAATAGAACTAAGTTCACCACATTTCAAAGTATTGACAAAGGAATTAAAATTTATTCCAACATCAAGAACAATTAACATCGTAGCAAGAATTGTAAATTGTAAAAAATCCTTATGTTCCACATCAACATTAATAACCAACGCAGCGGTATCAGAAATTTCTGCATTTATCCAAAAATGGAAGAAATCTATAAAATGTAATATGCATAAAGAAGAAATAGAAGTATTAAACGAAATCAAGTCAATGGAAGATATTGTTATTATTCAAGCAAACCACGATGGTAAAATTGTAATAATGGACAATATTGATTATATTAACAAAATTGAAGAAAAATGAAATGATAATAATATATATGAGCAAGTACAGAAAGATCCAACGGCAACAACCAAATCAGAAATTAATAAAAACATTACAAAATTATTGGATCAAAATAAAATTACAGAACAAACCAAATATTATTTAATGTCAATTTATGATTTACTAACAATTCATGGTCAACCTAATTTACATAAAAACAAAATACCAATGAGAATCGTTACTTGCTTAAGAAATACACTTACATCACTATTATCCCAGTTTATATTTAAATTAATAAGACAATGAAGAACAACATTAAATGGAGTGATATATAATAGATCAAGTTTTATTAAAAACATCATAAACATTAAATTAAATCAAAATGATTATATACCAAGTCTTGACACTCAAGATTTATATACAAACATACCAGTTAATAAAGCCATCGAGATCAACGTTAACATGTCTCATTGAATCTAAGAAATTAGACAATTTACCATTTACCAAAACTGATATTAAAGATTTATCGGCTTTATCCTTAAAAAAACAGTTATTTTCAATTTGATAATAAAATTTACAAACAAAAAAGAGGTTTACTGATGTGTAATACATTATCATCATTACTAACTGACATTTATTTCGATCATTATCAACAACAGCATTTATATAAAGTCAACATCTCAAATAAAATCTGAAAATATGTCCATGATATATTAATCATTACAAAAATGAATCAACAACAATTAAATAAACATGTAAACGAACTAAATAAATTACAAGAAACAATTAGATTCATCTTTGAATTCGAACAAGACAATGAATTAAATTTTCTTGATACAAAATTAAAAAGAATTAATGATAACGATGATATGAAACTTGAAGTTAGATGGTTTTAAAAAGAAACAGCTGCTGATAGATTATTGAATTATGAATCAAGTCATACAAAATACATTAAAAGAAATATTGGTAAAAACATGACTACAAAGATTTTAGAAACAAAACAGAATGATCAAGATCAAAAAGAAGATTTAAGTAAATTAAAAAGCATGCTATTAAATTCAATTTATCCTTTAAAAGAAATCGAAAAAACAAATAAGATAAGCATACGAAAAATTTAAATATAATAGAAACAATGATAACAACAACAACAAAGATATATCAAATCAAAACAACGATAATGCAGAAATGAAATATAGTTTATCATGACCATACGTTCTCGGTATGGAAGTGTTAAAAAAGTAGACTTGAAAAGAACGTACAAATTAAATCATACTTCTCTTATCCATATAAAATACAATCACAATTCAATCGATCTTTAAAAATTTCATCAAAATCCATTGTCTACCAAATTTCTTGTTCATACAAACAAACTTATATTGGCCAAACGAAAGTTCGCACAGCTAATCGCATGAAACAATATTCAAAAACAATAAATGATAATTCAAATGGTAGTAATTCAGAAATAGTAAAACATTTTCAAGTAAAGAAATTTCAATGTTTATTTGGTACAAATGATACATTTATTATCGAAACAGAGAACAATTATTGGAAACGACACACACAAGAAGCAATTTATTCAATAATAAGTGAATCAATTAATATACATGATAAAAATTAATGCAGTATGGATACCAATTTTAGATAAAGCCAAAGAATAAATTCAAAGAAAAATTCAATTAAGCTAAGAAAATTATAAAAATACAAAACAAATAAATAGTAAAGAAAAACAAGACGGTGATTGTGAGACGGGAAAAGAATTAAATCCTAATCTAACTACCACTATTATTGTCTTGTTTTTCCGAATCACTATCAAAAGAATGAATAAGAAAAAAAAGAAAAAGAAAAGATTTACTTCTACATTGAGTCATATGTCTTAAAGTTATCGTCTGAAGAACTATCTCATTGAGATACGAAACGTGACTGACTTTTGTTAATTAATTAATTGTTAATTGTAAATAGACTTAAATAAAAAAAGAAGAAAATTTACTCATGTTAAATAATAATTTAACTTTATTTTAAATTTACATTACTAATAATTTGAATTCATTGTAAATTTAAATGACTGATAATTCAAATCTATTTTAAATTAAGAAGAAAATGACACTCCTTATCTGGAGAAGAACCGCATCTTCTAAATTAGAAATATAGTGATGAAAGATGTAGAACGGTATTGAATTACTCTAATGTATAATATATCTCATAGTGAAATATTTTTTTTAAATCCAAAAAGCCCTAAGTTAACACATTCAGCCCGATGTGACCCACCGGTGGGTCACAGTATATTTTAGGAAGAAACTGTATAGAAAACTGCTTCCTTTTGCCTTTTACTTAGGTTGGAGGTTACACATATTGTATCACCTGCTCTGTCTTCAGTATTTTTTGAGTCTTTTATTCCATAGCATGATGTTTCTCGTTAAAACAATCAAGATATATGTATCTTAACGTCATAAAGGAGGTTTGACAATAGAAAAAAGGAAAGGGAAGAATAGACTTAGCAAGAGAACTAGTGAACTAGTGAATGTAACAGTGAATGTGTGCAAGAAGAGAAG